AAAAAAAATATTACGGTACGTCGGACATTCACTGATGACCGTAATTGACCGGAAAAGGATCAGAATAGTAAAACACCGTGTTGAGAACTGGTGGAGATTCAAAAGTTCTCAGAGATCTGAAAAATTTCAGCATTTCCTTTACTTGTTTTGAGCCTATACCAGTACCTTTTCCTTTTCTTTTACGCATTTCATTGGCACTCGGTCAGATCTCTAGAATTTCATAAAAGACAAAACGAGAGCTGAAGATGCACCCTTTGAATAGCCACAATGTTTATTATCTAAGTGCTGTTGATTGATCAACTTACTCAGTTGACAGTTTATAAATACAGGCTTCGGTAGGCCACAGTACTCAATACTTTGTAATATAAGGGCATTTTTCAAACCAGACTGCCAAGAATTCTCTGGATAATAGCAAAGGTGAAAAAAGTCACGGCATTTAGATTACTTCCCTGGAAAAGGGCCTGATGGAAGTATGTTCATCGGCATTTTCTAGTGGAAAAAGCTTGTCTTCATTTTGTCTCAATGCGAGGCCACTGAAATGAGGCTTACTTTTTGATATTCTATATTAAGGACACAGCCGGCAACAATTACATCGCAAGTGTTCTGTGCGATCAAATTCGTGGTCTTATGCGTGATTTCCAAGTACCAAATGGTCTCGAAGCGATGGGATTTCAGCGTTCTGATATTGGTAATATATTTATTGCGTGTTATTCGGTTTTACTTTAAAAGATAACTCTCAACATGAGTAAGCGAAAAGCCTTCAACCTAGCTCCGATATTTGGCCTACATTTCGACATCTACTGATGTTATGTAGTAAGGAGAAGTAGGTATTTTAGAACAGTCAGAAATGCATGCTTGGAAGAGGTAGCTATATTTGTAAGAATGGTTTTTAAAATGGCGGAATTAATGGATGTAGAGCCAAGTAGTGAACTACCACACGCACGGTGCGGAGATCGAATACCGGAATGAGACCCACCCCAGCGTACCGAGTCATCTATTCCTCCCCAGTCGGCTAATTAGTATCTTACTTGTATGAGTTAAATCCATGGGAGCAGCCCAAAACGGATTTGACTAGGACCGGAACACATTACCTATCATTCACTGCCTACTGGTATAGTAGCCACGGGATAACCAAATGGCCTTGCGACTATTTAGGGAAGGTTCAGAGATCTGCTTTCGTTTATCGCAACTACGTCTGGGCATTTTATGTTTATATGGGCAATGCTTAAGAGTATTGCCTGCTAGTAAGGGGGAAGGTTTCTATCATACTTATAGATTGACAATGAGCACGGGACCATGGGACCATGTAAAGTGGGGTATAGCATTTGAGCTGATTTTGAACCAGATTTGGAAGCGTCTCAGATTCTCTAGATTCTCCTCATCGGCTCACATCATAGTCAGTCCTATTTGATTTCATAATGTGGCCATTATTAGTCAGTACTCCTTTTCAGATAGTCTGACAGCTGCTGCTTTGAATGCAGTGACGAACATAGCGGTTACACCACGGTCTACTGACTTCGAAACCATCGCTTACATCTATGAACGATCACTGAACGTCTACTAATATTTGGTCCAGGTTGTAAAGGTCCTCTGAACGTACATAAGTGACTAAAAGGGACAAACTGTAAATAATGAAATGTAGTGCTCACAGAAGAGAACATTATTGACATCTTCACGGGCATGTCCGATTGATTCGATTGAATAAACTATGAATATTATTGTTATTATTATTGTATTATTATTGTAACTTTTTATACTGTTCAAGGAGATGACAACTTGTCATTAATGTGGTTCGAAGTACGTATAGAACCGGTGTTGTTTGGGAAGGCCTGCCCACTTCAGTTTTTCGAACATTTTTACAACTGCCCTGATTTGGTCAAAAACCAACCACTTCCAGTGAGTGATATATGCTGTAATGGGATGGACTTTGTTTTCCTTTTTTGACACAATTAATAGAGTAACCTTCATTCAAAACCACTTGGAATCATAGCTATGTCAAAAAGACCTTCAACTTTGGAAGTGATCTCCCAGACATTCAAAAAGTAGGTGAAGGGGAAAATGGGGGCCAGATTGCTTGAATTCTTGTATGTAAGAACTGGGCAGTTGCCCATACCACTAATATGATGCATGAACGAACGAAGATAGTTATAGAAGCGGGTTTTATCATATGTTGTTCATTGAACAGAATGGCTATTGAACAAAGTTTATTTTCCAGAAAATAGACCGCATAATTTAGATGGTGGCACTAGATTTCGCGCTATCAAACGGCTGGTTCAGAGATCGAATCTCAAAGTCATACCCTCCAAAGCCAAGCCAGCTTTTTCTCCCCCCAGGATCGGTTCATGGTACCAGGCTAGACTGGAAGGAAAAAGGCACTGTCTTGAACATTGGCTGGTCACTGCAATTCATTGCATATTTAGGTCACACACTCATTTAAACGCTTCCACGATTCTGAATGGAAGTTGAACGCGGGGCGCATTTCCCAACGGGCTGGACCAAGTTTAAAAAGGTAGCGTAAAGTACGTAATAGGGCCTCAAGACTCTGTTGTTTGCTGTTTGTTGTGATGTACCAAAAAGTCACCTATAAATCGGCCTGGGTTGGATTAGAATTTCAAAGTCAAGCCCCAAATCGATCCATGGGACAATCGAAAGGTGAAAATTCGTTTTCTACCGATGAATTGATCCTTTGTATACCTGAAAA